TGAGTACTTCAGGGTGATCTTGTTGGTACTTGGCCAGCACAGCTCAGTGCACCTCAGGAATACTATGTGCAAATGTCTTTGCCACATTCCTAAATTACCTCCTCCTTGTAGCGTTGTATCTGGCTCAATGTTTGCCAGGAGCTTTCCTGGGGACAGTCAGGGCCGGCTCATCCACTAGGCAAACTAGACTTTTGCCTAGGGCGGCCAGGCTGCAGCCCCTGGAGATGGGCGCCAAAATGCCTTGCCGCCCTGCCTGCCATACACACACACACCGCTGGGAAGGCGCTCTTTAAAGACTTATAGCCAAGGCACCCTGCGCGCCGCTGGGGAATCAGGCAGGAAAAGTTCCTCCAGGCTGGGATAGTGCCCTTTAAATTTTCATGGCATCTCCTTTCTCCGTTCTCCTTCCCACCCACCCCCACCCCCACACGCCAGATGGATGGGGAAAGGTGATGCTGAAGTGGCTGCTTGGATGATCTCTTAGGCCCGTGGGGATCTGTGAAGAGCTTTGGCAGGACCGGGACGGTCTGATCTCTCTGCGTGGCATCGCCAGTTTCTTTAAATCTCGGGGGAGGTGAGGGGGTAGGGGGTGCCGCTGGAGGTGGTTGGGGCTGGGAGCGGTGTGTGCTTAAGAACGCCACTCCCATGAGTCCACGGCCAGAGTCCTTTCCCTGCTTACTGGATGAGAATCTACCCCGGGGTCTCTTTAAGGGTGCGGGTTTTGATTACCACATCGGCCGTGCCTTCCCTCGCCCTGTTTTCTCCTTCTGTTCCCCTCCCTCCCATTCACTCTTCTGGCTTTGGGGGAGACAGTCACAGTGTGGCAAGGAGGGCAGGCTCGGCTGGTCCTGGTGGTGCAGGAGCACCTGCTGTTGCCGGGGAGGGGAGGCCTGGGGTCTGAAGGGGGGGTTGACAAAACAGGGCGAGGGTCCCCGTGAGCTGGCCAGAACTTAGAAATCAGGTTGGGGAGGGAAGAACTGCGGGGCGCCTTGTAGGGGGGAGAAGGGAGGGAGTCCCCCCCCAGTGCCAGAATCAGAGCGATTCATGGAGGATAAGTCTCTCAATAGCTACTAACCATGGAGACTGAGGGGAGTGCAGAGTTTGCACAGAGGAAAGTCTTCCTTCTCTCCAGGGCCCGCCTGGAGGTTGGCAACCCCATAATTGGTGGGTGCATGGGGGGGCGCCAGAAGGTAGCCTTGCCTAGTGTACAAAAAAACCTGAAGCCAGCCCTGGGGGCAGTAATAGGTGAGAGCTGTGAGGGGGAGTTGGTCTGAGGGAGTGGTGATGTGGTGGACATTTCTTCAGGTTCCTGAGGGAGGCACGCATCAAAATGGCTCCTAGAAAGGTCCTTTACTATCATCCCATGAACATTCATAAACTCAATTGCCATGCTGGCTGTTATGAGAAATGTCTATTCAAGAGTCTTGAATTACTGATTTTTGTAACTGTCCTCAACTGTCTGCAGTCTCTTTTAACTGTGCTTTTACTTCACAACATTCAGATCCACAGCTGAGCAATCAGAGGGAGGTGGATGCAAGAGGCAGGTTTTACCTCAGAACTCTGAGCTACGCCGTTGACCAATTAAGGGGGGGGGCAAGGAGGCAGCAGCCTGCCAGGCACATGGAAAACAATTGGGGGAACACATTTTACCCAATTTTTACCCCCTTAGGAGTTGTTTCTCAGAAATCTCTTTGGAGTGTAGGTTGACATCATGGTAGGAATACACTCCCCTTATTTTGGGTTTTTTGGTGAAGGGGGTTGGCCTGGGCACTGAATTTTAGTGAGGGCAGTGATGGTTCCATCTTGGCTGGGACCCTTCCCTGTTGTTTACATCTATTTTGCCCTCCTCTCCCCTGTCCATGAAGTAGCTGGCAGTGGGAGTTGGAATATGGATTGATTATTCGCCATCTGATTGCCTTTAATGTTGTACTAATGTTTTTAATTGATTTTATCTTGTTTTATCTTTGGTTGTACATTGGCCAGAGCCCTGCAGCAGCAGGGATGGAGCAATTCATAAATACAACAATAATAATAAGAAATAATTTGTGGTGTGTGTGCAGGGCATACCCTTTTTTTCTTTACAAAAATGCTTCTCATTTATGTTACATTTAAGAAGTAGGATGCAACTATGTATTCAAAACAACATCTGAGCAATCAGATATTAAGCAAATTCATATGAACCAATTTTCTAGAACCCATATTGTGAGAAGTTAAATAACCGAATACAGGAAACCACTTTTCTACAAATTTGGGGTATATTTCCATAGTGGGTGGGAGTGTGTCTAATGCCATTGGGGAGGCTGGCCCAGCAGCATTGCTAAGGTGTTTCTGTTTGGGTGGCCTCCCTGCTGGATTAAAGTACCCTGGCCCTGCTCCTACACCTGACAGACACCTGCCTGTCTGGTGTTGGGGGGAGTGTGTTTAAAGGCATCAGGGAAGCTGGGCCAGCAGCAGTGCTAAGGTAATCCTGCTGAGCAAGTCTCCCCAATAGTTGTAAGCCATCAGAGAGGCTGGGCCAGCAGCATTACTGCACCTCACAGGCAGTTGTTGACCATTCCTGATTTCCTCAGCTGTCATTAGGTCTCTGCAGTCTCCTGTAACTGGTGTTTTTTTTAACCTCAGAACACTGAGCTCTGCAGCTGACCAATCAGAGAGTGAGGGGTGCAAGGAGGCAGCTGGCTGGCAGCCACATAGGAAGCAATGGGGGAAGCATATTTAACCCCTTTTGACCCCATTAAGGGTCGAATTTCTAAAAATTCCTTCTTAGTGAGCATCTACGTCATGGTAGGAGTGGTCTCCCCAAATTTCGTATTTCTAGGTCCATGGGTTTGGTCTGGGCATTGATTTTATGGTGAGGAGACTTCCTTTTATATATATAGATACCTAGCAGGGAGATAGAGAAACCTTTTTATTTCTCTCCCTTACAGAAGAACTTGGAGTCATCCAATGAAATAGATGACTCAGGACAGCCAAAATAATACTTCTTCACAGAAAGCATAATTAATGTAGTGATGACTTTAAAAGGGGATTAGACAAATTTATGGAGTATAGGTGTGTAAGTGGCTGTTACTTGTGATGGCTAAGGGAGATGTCTATGTTCAGAGGAAGAATGCTGTGAGCTATCCCTTGTGCCTATGGGCCATTGTGGGAAACAAGATGCTGAACTAGCTAGATCTTTCTCTACTTGTATTGGTCAGAGACACAGAGCTTACTTTTTCAATGAATGCTGATCTTAGGGTTCCCCCCCCCATTGTTTTCCATTTGGTCCTCTGGAGCATAAGGCTTTTTGCATTTGGGCTAGGAATTCCAACTTCTTTTAGGGTATTTGTTTTAAGGTATCACCCTGGTAGGAGATAAACCAATGGAAACTATTTGCAAGTTTCCATGTTCTTTCTACTGTGAAGTTTTGGTATTTGACATTTTCACTGTATGGATTTTTTAAAGTATAGTATCCGTAAGAAGCCCCGCTTCTAAATTGCTTTGAGAGCCAATTTAGCTAAGAGCACAGGATAAGTAGTTTAAATAAATCAAGATGTCATTCTATTGCAGTTTGTTTTTTTTGTCTGTAAATATTATACCTAGCTTGTTACAATCAGCGTTGTCAATATCTATTGACAAGTTGCCCTAAACAGATTGTGAAATTAGAGTTCTCTAAGACTAGACCAGGCCAAGCAGATAAGGCAAATTCACTTCTTGTGAATTTTTAAAGACCAGTGATGACAAAAACTTTTACAACCTAGAATCTGCTTCATCAATGGATTTCTCTAATCTGTTTGTCCCAATAAATGTGTTCATCTTTACAGTGCCTTGGGAGGGGGGAGGCAGGGAAGTCCTGCTCTATTGATGGAAATCTGTTCTGTCAGTGGAGATTTTATGTGGAATCCAATCCAGAGCCAGTTTGGTGTAGTGGTTAAGTGCGCGGACTCTAATCTGGGAGAACTGGGTTTGATTCCCCTCTCCTCCACTTGCACCTGGCTGGATGACCTTGGGCAAGCCATAGTTCTGGCACAGCTGTTCTTGAAAAAGAGCAGTTTCTGTCAGAGCTCTCTCAGCCCCACCTACCTCACAGGGTGTCTGTTGTGGGGAGGGGAAGGGAAAGGAGTTTGTAAGCCGCTCTGAGACACCTTTGGGTAGTGAAGGGCAGGGTATAAATCCAATCTCTTCTTCTATTCCTATTACTTTTATATGAAATTTGGATTAAATTTCAAGCATAACTTCTTTGAAAAAAGAGATGCTGTTTGTTTCTCAATCCATTTTTAATTACTATTTTTAAAACTTTGATGGTTCTGAACATCTTTCCTGTTTTAAATGTTATTTACTTACCTATTTTATTTCCCCAGTGGGGATCCAAAGTGGCTTACAAATGAGGAAAAATGAAAATACAGTTTACAAAACTACAATTTAAATAAGTAAACAGAGAAGACAAGAAAACAATACCGTACATCATATCCCAGACAAGTGTTGGATCTGCTGGCCTGATTTATTTAGGGTCTCAGGGTAGAAGTCAAGGCCCAAGAGCCCTTTGGATTGTGCCTCTGGCCACACCCAGGCTAAATACCTGAATCAAGGGGAAGAGAAGCTCAGCCTAAAGTTTATTCAACTGCTGTCAAGATACTCCCAACCTTCCTCCCCTTAGGGTTGCCAATTCCAGGCTGGGAAATTCCTGGACAATTGGGGGTAGAGTTTGGGGAGAGGAGGAACCTCAGCAGAGTATAATGCTATAGAGTTCATTCTCTAAAGCTGCCATTTTCTTTGGGGGAAACTGGTCTCTGTAATCTGGAGATAAATTGTAATCTCGGGAGGCCCTCTGTGGAGGCTGGCAACCCTACTTCCCCTGTGATAGGATTAGGTCATCGCTTTGTGTGAGGAAGGAGGACCATAGATTCCCCCCTCTGATTTTGTATTAACTGTTCTGTAGCAGAAACAAAGAGGATGGACAGTTCTCTGTATTATTGTCCATATATCTTAATCCACTAAAGCACTTTCTTTTGCAATATTAGGATGCTACTGCAGATGATGTGGTGCTGCGGAAGAAAGAGCAGAAAGATGTTGAACTGGATAAGAAAATCATAGCTTTGCGGAAAAAGAATGAAGCACTTATGAGAAGATACCAGGTGAGTCTGACTTTTTAGCTCCTTTGGGTTTATGGTGCTCCTTAGCTTGGTTTCTGACCCTTCTTAAAGCTTTGCAACTTGATCGTATATGGCCCCGGTCACATGGGCCAGATAATGCAGGGGGGAGGTGTGGCTGTTCGCCCCGGAGCAAAATAAAGCGTGGTAGCCCGATCACACGGTCCCCTGAGTCTCCGTGCTTAGGCTGTTAGTTGGCGATCACACAGCAATGCTGCAGTGTGGCAAAAAAGCGGCGCGCCGCAATCACAGAAGCGTTTTGCGTTTGTGCGCATGCGCAGTTCCGCAGAGCAGCACTGCTTTCAATTTTGTGTTTGTGCGCATGCGCTTACGAAAAACATCCAGTTTGCGACGGGATGTGGACGGGCGCCAGATGCCACGGGATACTAGTGCTCCCGTGATCAGACGCCCGCCTGTGCCGCACGTTTTCCAGATACTAGTGCACTTTCCAAGGTACTTTTTAAACTCCGCATCTTTGGCGGGACGCCATGGGTTGGCCATGGGTGCACTACGCTTCCCAGATGTTGTGGTGTGATTACGCCCTGAAAATCCGCCCGACATTCGTGCCTTTCATGTGGCAAATTCTCTGTGTGACCGGGGCCTATGCTAGTTTTTTGTTTTTGTTTTAAATCTTTTTCAGGTGTGTTTCAAAGTATCATCTCTGACAGAATTCACATTTTCAGGCCTTCTCCCACTGTCAGAGTACAAGTGTGAAAAACTATATTAATATAGTAAATGCACTTTTATCAGGTTTCTAAATCTGATAAAAGGATTCATAAAAAGAATTCATGAATCTTCAACCTTCCTGTGTATTGCAATGCAAGCATAGGTCTGGTCTTGGCTTAACCAGCACCACTACTTAGAAGTATAGTTGGTATATTTACTGTCAAGTTTAGGTGGGAGTTGGTAATTCAGTTTCATTCAATACAGCCCTCCACAAAACTGACAAAAACATTTAAATTTATTGGCACAAACATCCAATTTTCCGGAGCCCATGCAACTACACTCATGGGATTCCCCCCACCCTGCATCAGCCGTGTTTACATTAGTATTTGTGTGATGACATCCTGAATAAGAATTTCACATCGGATTCTGGAATTGTTAATCTAAGGGAATCAACACAGCATATAAAATCATGAGAATTGCCTTGCTGCTCAGACAGGGAAAAAATGCTATGGTCTTTGGAGTCAGAAGTGAGCAGTGTCAGTACATAGTATTTTTGTGTGTGTGTGTGAACATAGCCAGAGTATAGTTCTAGAAGAGGATGTCTGTTTGGCAGCATGGACATGAGGTAAACCACAGGAGTTAGTATTGTCTACTGTGCTGTTTAACATCTGTGTGAATCTGCTGGGTGAGTTTTCCAGAACTTTGGAGTATGATGTCATCAACATGTGATCCAGTTGCAGTTTTCTCTATCAAGAACTAGTGTTTTGAGGCTATATTTGGATGTGAGATTTCATAGGTTAGAGACAGGACAAAACTGTAAGAGTTGAAAGTGGTTTTATAGAGGCATTACATCCCGTGGTGGTCACAAATTTATCCGAAAGCCTGTGGTCACCAAATTTTGCAGGCTTTTGAAACAATACAGCGCCTGCAAAACCTGTTCAACAATGACGAAAGATGGCTAGATTTACATGCTGCAGATAATGAACCTTATTTCAAATGCTCTTCAGTTCTTTGAAAAAAAAACTGAGCATTGGTGAATATAGAGGTCACCTGGACTTTGATATTATGAAATCTAGTGATGGCACTGGCCGTCTCCTGAGAAAAGTACAGTTTTCCAAAGTTCCCATTTGTTTATCTCCTGGTTTCAGCACATTAGCTTTATTTTTGGTTTTCAGCTTGCTGTAATATTTTAATATGATCTGATACTGGATCCAGATGTCACTTTTTCAGGAAATAGAAGAGGACAGAAAGCGAGCAGAGCAGGAGGGAATGGCTGTCACCTCAAGGAGACCGAGGGCAGATGGCCTCACTATCACTATTACCAAAGCTCATAACGTAAGCATCCTTTCTTTTCTTTTTTTCCATCTGCAAAAGGGATTTTCCATATTCCCTTCCCATGAAGTTGGACCTCTAAGCCATGACAGATCACGAGAGTTGATTGGAACAGACATAATAGAGCAGCCGGCTCCAGGCAGTCCTTAAATGTACAAGACAGGAAATTATGTACATGCAAGAAATCTATTTTGCAAACAAAGAAGGCTTGTAGAGCTGCCCAAATGTTTATTTATTTATTCATTCATTCATTCATTCGATTTATACCTCGCCCTCCCCGCTAAGGCAGGCTTGGGGCAGCTTACATAAAAGTACATATATAAATACAATTAAATGTCACTTTGAACCTCCAAAAGAAAATTAAGAAGTCGCATACTTCATGACTGTAAAATCGCCAGCAACCTGGAGAAAAAATACCCCGTCCCTTTAACAGAAACTTGATGTGTGGAAATGGGCAGCTGAAGCTTTTCATGACATGGAGTTTTTAAAAAAATCACATGGTAAATAACATCCCATTAATCCTCTATTAAGGGGGCAGGACATTTTTTCCCTGTAGGTTACTGGCAACCCCACACTTATAGCAAGGCATTCAAAGGGAGGGGCCACAGCTCAGTGGTGGAGCATCTGCTTTGTATGTAGGTTCCATCCCTGGCATCTTAAGTTATCCCTGTATCACACCTTTTCACATCTTAAGATAAAGCAGCTTCATGTATCTATTCTCCTATAGTATTTAAATCGGGATTGATTTTCAGAATGAGAGTGTTTAAGTGCTTATTTATCCAGCATCTGCTTAGCTCCGAATCCAGTCTCTAGCTGCTTTATTTCCACTGCTAGCCTGAGTCCCCATCTAACAGGTGAATCATGATAGCAATCTCTTCTCCTAAATCAATGATCAATTAAAGATGAGAGGGCTTCTGGACTGATGCAGGTTATCATAGTTTTCACTGCTTTGAGTGGTATCCGGAGCAGGCAATGAAAAATGTGGAAGGTTTCTGAGAAAAATGGCTGTGCTACATTTCCCAGTCACCCTGAATTATTAGTTAAGAGCAGGAAAATGAACTCCTCATTAATAGGCAATCTTTTTGTTCATCAGCTTTAGGAACGGAGCTGAACGCTGAAGTATATGTCTCTACTTAAATATTCTATAAAGCCCTCTGCAAATGTTGATGCAACAATAGTCATGTTCTTTCAATACCCTATCCCAGACCATAGAACACCACTTCCTTTCTTCCCTGAGGAATGCTTGCTTTGGGACACCCAGCAACCCCTGGTAGCATTTAGGGGGTGGCAGGGGTCATTTCATAGAAAAAGAGGTGCAGGAGCTAATGAGCATAACTCATTAGCATAATGTATTTCCATATGCCACACCCCCTGACATCACCGGAAGCGTGTCAGAAGGCAACACCCCCCACTCAGGCTCCACTGGACTGTTTTGGATTGCTAGCTATGAGGGGGGGGGGAACATGCAGATCTGTCCTCGCAGAGGAGGGAGAGCTTGTACCTGAATAAAACTTGGTCTTAAAGGCGCCACTGGACTGTTTTGGGCCAGGGGGGGGGCTCTGCAACTTACCTGGCTGCTTCTTGCTCTGACTGAGGGCTGCTGGGGTCAGGGGGTGGGGCTTGTTGCATGTGCTCGCCCCCTGGGCTCTTTACTGCTGGAGCTCTGCTCCTGTGCACTCCTGCAGGAAGTGACCCCTGGGGGGTGGGGACTAGCGTGCTGCTGACACATTTTTACCGGAGGTGACATGATGGTATGCTCTAGGATTTGCAAAGACATTCCACAATGTTACTTTTGGTTTTTACCAGAAATGACATCTGCACACAGGCATGATGCCAGCACATGCCCCCATTTCTCCTCCCATTTCCTCCCACTAGTCCTTCAGGCAACAGACCAGATTGGCAACTCTGTCTGGGGCAGTGTAAACATTACCATTTTGGAGATGTATCAGTTGCTATAAGATGACTTTTATATTCATATTAATATAGCAAATGAAAGTCCCTTCTCCCACATCCTGAAAGCAATAGAAAATATGAATTTTTAAATGATGTAGTCACTTGTGACAATCCTAGACGAGGCAGCCTGTCAAAGACATAAATATTGAAGGGGGAAATGTTACACCTAATGGTATTCCAGGTTGGCATATTAAGCAGGGGAGCCTGAGAACAGCCCTGAGCATTTTAATGGATCATTCAAAGAAAACAGAGGCTTGGCTTCACTGACTTGAGCTTTATTACAAGCAGCTGTGTAATAAACATTCAGTGGCTGTAACTCCTCCCTTAGTTTTCTGACTTCTGTCCTGAAGTTGCATTTCTGGTTCTTCATACTAACTAAAAACAGCCTTCATAGCAGCTCCCTCTGTTGGTCAATATATTCAATATATCAATTCTCAACAAGACCATATCTATGGGTACCTAAATTCAGAGATTGGAGCCATGAACAAAGATCTTTCTACAAAGCTGAAAATGCCCTATGTTCACAGAAAAATCTGAAATCTAAGACAAATACATGGGGGAGTTTAACCTCTCCAAAATAATAGCCTGTAGCTTTAAGAAATGAATGCCATCTCAGTGGCAATTGAGGAGGTTTCTAGGCAACCACAACAGTATCACCTGCTTTCAAGCCTTAGTTTTTTCTCCGTAAAAGGCAGAGGGAGGGGCAGGGTTCTTTCCAGGGCTGTTTTGGCCTTTGAAGGAGGACTCATTGGGGCCAGGCCTGGCAGTAGTCACCAAGCAACTTGATACCATGTGACTTGATTCCCCTAGGACTGACTGCTTGCTACTCTTCAACAGCAGCCACCCCACAAAAGCCAGTGTGGTGTAGTGGTTTGTTTCCAACTAGGATCTGGGAGACCCTGGTTCAGTTCCTCACTCTGCCGTGGAAGCTCATTGGGTGACATGTTCTCAGCCTAACCTACCTCACACACTTATTATGAGGATAAAATGGAGGAGAGGAGAATGATGCTAGCTGCTTTGAGTCCCCATTATAAAGCAAGGCAATGTATAAATGAAGTAAATAATAAACATGGCTACCAGGAAATGGGAAAGAGGAAATACTAGAAGGGGGATCCAGGACAAAGGGAAGAGCTCCCCACAAGTCCTTGTGGGTTCCTCAACTTGTGCTTGGGGCCTGGCAGCTGATATTGCTTACTTGGTCCATGGTTTTCCTGGGTAGGGGCTGACAGGAGAAAGGGGAATAAAAGGTCAGAGCAGGAGAAAGGAAGGGAATGGAGACAGCTGGCAAGGGATGCTAGAAAGGAACAGACCCTGCCCCCCTCGACCAGGGAGGTGTCATTCCTGGCTAGGAGCATAGCTAGGACTGACAGATCTCCCAGATTGGTGGGAGACCTCCTGCTAGCAGCCCTCTTTCTCCACTGCTGCTGGGGGGGGGGGGTTTGGAAGGAAATCAACAGAGGTGAAGTGATGTCACTTCCAGTGCAACCCAGAAGTGACACACCATATAGAGAAGACGCTGTGGCATTTACACAAAATTCTATGGTTAAACCGTAGAATTTTGGGCAAATGCTATTATGTCATTGTCAGATTGCTCTGGAAATAACATTGCTGGTGAGGTCCCCCCCCCCATGCCAGTAGGTCTCCGACTGGTTGCCAGCCTCAGGTCGGGTGCAACCCTTAGTACACCAGGTTAATATCTTAGGTTCTGTCTCCCTCAAAGCCTAACCCTGTGGTATAAGGGTATAGAGCTAGAGGTCGCAATTAAGGAATCCTGGGAAGAAACTCGGCCTGAGCAGGACCAGAGCTTTAGTGGAGGCAGTAAGTGGTAGGTGGATCTCCTGGCTGTTATGAGGATAATGTTATGAGACTTTGTTATTGTGAGTGAACTGTGTCCCCCTAGTGTCTGCTTTTTATTGGAGAGACAGGAGAACAATGGAGAACCCGGGTGGAGAAATAGCTCCTGGCCCCAGGGGCCTGACACCCTCTTTGCAGGAAGATATTAATTTTATAGTGACTCTTTCACTAAAAAAGATATTTATGGTTTGTCTTCAATTGTTTTCTGATCTCTTATTCACTATGGTCTTAAATGACTACTTAGGTCAAATTAGATGTGAGGAACCACCCGTGCATTCATACATAAAGTGGAGCATGAAGCATTTAATGCTAAAGTTCATAGGCAGTTATTGTATGTTGTAGTAGAGTATGGACTATTGTGGTAACAGATAACTCTGATGGACCGTTACTAAGATTTTTACACAATATCCCCGGAACTCTGAGATTTGTGGTAGGAATAGCTTTTAGAGCTGAAATTGGGATGATGTCTTTTGAAGCAAAGGCTTGGTGGAGAGAGCTTAATTTGAAAATTAGGATGTTGAGATCAAATTTAGAATCTTCTTGGATTAGTTAGGCTGGATCTTCCTATGAGTGATTGGGACAAATACTTGGATTTCAAATTACTAATTATTAAGAAGAAGTGAAGGGTGGGTGGTATGTTTTATATAAACAAGTGTGTTTGTGTGAGGGGAGCTATTCCCCAGCTTTATCTTACTGCACAGAAGGAAAATCATAGTCAGCTGCTAGACCAGTGGATCAACTAGTATTTCTTAGTTTCATTTTTGCAAAACAGTGCCCAAACTTACCCACAAATATGTTACACGGAGTTCAAATGGGACTTATTCCCTACCCTAGTAATTGTGCCAAGGACTGCAGTTGCAGTGGGACTTGCTATGATCCAGGTTACTTCTTATGTTTTAAAGTAAGTAGAGTCCGTATTCAGGATCTCTTAACAGAAATAATGTATGACTTAATTAGTAAAAATTTCTGAATTTGTGTTCTTCCTTTATAAATTTAAAATGTCACGGGATCAAGGGGATTCTGATAAAAATAAAAATAAGCCATGCAAGACTGTCCACCCCATGCAAGACTGTCCACCCCTGCCTTTGCATAGTTTATCCCTGGGCAATGAAAACCCACACAATTATGTCTCTATCAATTTCACAATCCTTTTACATTTTAGTCAAATGTCAGATTTGTAAGTGTATGGTGTATTTTTCCAGACTTATGGGATGCTCTGCAAATCAAACAAAGGGACCAAGTGTTTCTCTGGAAAGAATGTCAGGGTATTTGTATTACTGACAAAAAGGGTGTTGTAGATTTCCCCTGACATTTTCATAGGTTTCATGTTCTTCACTTTTAAATGCAAAAGAACATAAAAAGTGGGAATGAAATGATAATCTCCTCCATTTTTAGGAGAAAAGAGTAGTGAGTGAAAAATGGGGAAGCGGCTGCTCTGCTGCCTCAAGCTTTGGGATTGGTAGTGAAGAGGAGGAAGATGATGAGGAAGCAGATCATTTGTTTACATTCAAGATGGGGAAGAGGATGCAACTGGCAGTTACCATGGATAATAAAGCCAAGGTGAGCCTTTAACATTTGTGATGATACTCCAGAGACATTACATAGATCCTAAGAAGGTTTTCAGAGGTGCTATTATCTCGTCAGTGCTTATATCAATAGAAGTTACATATTTAACACAATAGAGTTTCTGTTCCACATCCCCTCCCTTGTTTAGGCACCACAAAAATCAAGAAAGAAGTTGACAAACTGTCATGGCTTTCTTTCTTCAGGAGCTGTCATCAGTGGTTTGATATTAAAACTTTCTTGACTGAGCAAGTCACAGAAGTAATACAATCTGGCTCCTATCTCAGTATATGATGGCCTCTTAAAATGCTTTTTTGGAATCTAGTCTTTGTGATTTCAGGAAAAACTTGTCAAAGCATAAGTTAGGCAACCAGAGCCCAGAATATTCTTATTTGTGTAGCTCTTTCTCCTCTCGGTGATCTCCAGTGTCCACTTCTTTGTCTTCTTACACATTTACTAAAGGCATGACTTTCAAAAACATCCTGTTCAGATTTTTTGAGAACTTTTACATTTCTCTTTTGAATTTTGCATTGGTCTTGTTAGTGAGGAATTGATGGCTATTCAGTATGTACCACAGAGATAGAGAAAGGCAAAGGAACTATGCTTCCCATTCACATGAAATCTATTTTGGAGAAAGCCCTCCCATTACCACTGATATTGGAGCATGGTATTCTTTGAGGTGACACCTGTCATGTGAAATTCATGTCTCTGGAGATTCATCAAGAGAAATCCTTTACCTAGAAGTTTCTGTAATTTTTGGTTACTTTGTATTTTTAATCCTGATGCATTTCCAGTTTGCTTTTTTACTGTTTAGTGTGTTAACCCTAACAATGTGTCCAACTATTATGTCAGAGTTATGCTTGCATGAATGACAGAATTCAAATTACCAGTCCAAGAATGAGCTTCATTGGATCTTGAACTTGTGTGCTCTCCCTGCTTTTCTTCCGCCTCTTGCATGCCATTGCAAGATAGAGGATCCCTGGTTTAGCAGTAACCACAATTTTTGTAATGTCTGAACTGGGCACTTCAACCAATTGCAGGGGTTTTTTTCTTGCTCTCAACCCATGTTCCTGAACCAAGGATGAAACTCTGAGTTAGAATCCTTGTTTGCTAAACTACCCAATCAAACAGTACAATAATCTGCATTTAGTTCTAAACCAGAACATGTCCAGTCGTGGGATGAAGCAAGAGGAGAAAGATCCCCCCAATTTACAGTGGTTTGTTCACTCTGTTATTGAGACTTGAATGCAGCCTCTGTGTTCTTTATGTTGTAAGTCCCTTTGACTACTGTTTTCCTGTGGGGCAAGTGATGCTATGTATTTTTGGTGTTGGGGGGGGCAACAGTAGGAGGGCTTCTAGTGTCCTGGCCCCAGTGGTGGACCTCCTGGTGGCACCTGGTATTTTTGGCCACTGTGTGACAGAGTGTTGGATTGGATGGGCCATTGACCTGATCCAACATTGGCTTCTCTTATGTTTTTATTATAATAATGAGCATGCTAAAGATACTATTAATAATGTTTGGGCCAAACTGAATTATTCAGTCTTGTTAAACTTAGTGATGGTTTACCCCAAAACATCCAGTCAGATTCATGCTGAATCCAGTTCTCCACTGGACACACAACGGGATTCATGCGCCACCTCAGAAACTGCACTCTGTTGCACATTGGCCTTGATTGATCTGCAATCCACACACTGCTTTCTCTAGCCTCACCTGAAATTTTATTCAAATATATTTATTTGCTTCATTTATAGTCCAATTTTTCCACTGAGGCTTAAGGCAGATTACAACTAAAAGCAACAGAGTAACAGTTAGAAGACTTAGTGCCAAAGATTTTTCGACTGTTGTCAAAATCTGATCGTCAGCTCATTCCGGCCATTCCAGAAAGCTCTCTAGACAGGTTTGGGGGACAATTCAATGAAGACATCTGCTGTGTTCACAGCGGCAGTCAAAACAATGCATATTATCAGGCTGTGTTGACATGTGAGCAGAGAATTGTATAGAACCATTTAGGATCATTTTAAACAAAGTGATGGCAGATCCTTGACTTATGCAATATGTTTGGATTCGGCTACCTAATATCAGAACTGACACTTCAAAGGCTGGAAAGAGCTGAAGAAGGATGATTAATGCGTAGAAGCCACAGCAGTGTGAAAGGTTACAATAAAAGCCTTTTCAGTTCCTAGGCTTTAAAAAAACCCCTATCCACTAGTAGTAATACAGATTCTGCCTGTCAGAAGCTGCTGGAGTTTTCAGTCTGAGTATAATCTTGGTTCCTGTTGGACCATTCCACGGTATGAAAAATGCTTTTCTCATTTATTTTCACGGTGTTTCATTATTAGAGTACCAAAGGTCTTCTACTCTTAGGTACTACCTAAGTAAGTCCCATTGAGCAATGTGGAATGTGCATTGGATCAGACTATACTGGTGCAGCTATTTCAGACCAGCATTTTTGCATGCAATCTGTTGTTAATAGGAGGTTGTGTATGCACTATGGGAGCAATCCTAAGCAAGTTTACTCCGAACTCCCATTTTATTCAATGGGGCTTCCTCATAGTAAAGTGTTGTTAGGATTGCTGCCTATGTCCTGTCTCCACTTGGACTGGTTCTAATTATATGGCCTTGCTTTATTAGAGGTACATGTGTATGTGTGTCTGGTTTAGATTGAAGCACTGTGTTGCATTCTCCCTCTTCCTGGCTATTATCTGATGCCTCCTCCTGGAGCTTTTGTCTTTGTTTCATGATGTCGAATGTGCAGCATTGCACCCATGTATCCATTTCCCTAGAGCAGAACTGAGCATTATGAGAAGCACAGCCTGCAAATTCAATTAGGTTAAAGTCCTCTGTTGCAGCCAACTAAAGCTAGTGAGATTTGCAATTATCCAGAATGACATTCATACCATTTCTGCTACATTTTGCTTACTCATGTCTGTTTCAGCCAGAAAAACAATTCCCGGGAGGAGAAATGATCTGGTCTGAAAGCAGCTCTTTCTTCTGATGGGAATTACCATAGTTGACTTCACTCAGCTCTAGTGGAGGCCCAGCATAAGCAAAATTATGCACTAAAAGCAATAGAATTTAAGAATTAGAGTGATGTAGCCATAATTAAAAACAGAGGTGAAATGCAAAGATGAAAACAGCAAGCATAAAAAGAAACAATCAGTCGAACCTGCCCAAATAGAATTTCCTGTCTATTGCTTTTATTGAAACTTATTAGCACAAAATGCACACGTTTGATGTAAAGATATATCTTTATATGTGAATGATTATGGCTTATGTCTTTGGACTATGACATTCCCACTCTTCCTTTTCTAGGGGAAGCGGATTGTTAGTGAAAAACGGGGGTCAGAGTGTCTGGGGAGCCCAGGGGACGCCCCAGACATCAGTGAGGAAGAGATGGATCAGCTGGTAGCTTTCCGGAGAGGAAGAAGAATGCAGATTGCTATTACCATGGATAACAAAAGCAAGGTGAGTGTGATTCAAAATACTGGCTTTCTGGGGCTCCAGTTCTCTGCTTAGGCACTATCATGGAAAGCAGTAGGGATGTGCATTCGGTTCGTCTGAACCAAATGCACCCCCGAAAATGGCCCATTCGGGCCCCTTTCGGGCTGCTGCGGGCCAATTCAGATTCTCTGATCTGAACCGGCTTGCTGTCGAATTGCTGCCAAAATTCAGCGGTATTCGGCCCCATTATATCCTATGGGCCATTGAAGTCAATGGCGAAAACATAGGGTATATTCTGGGGGCTGGAGGAGGGTGGGAGTCCAGTTTCAGCCAATTGCTGCATGCATGTGCAGCCTGCAAGGTTGATGGTGTTGCTTTGGGGAAGAGAGAGTCAACTCTACCCAACTCTACCCTGGTCTGACCTGCTACATCCCTGGACTTCTGGTTGCACCATCAATTTACACAGGGAAGGGCCTATATAAATGTTGTTCCTGTTGGTCTTTTGGGGTTTCTGTGTGGCACTGTGGCATGCTTGCACTGCCACAGTGCCACTTGTTCTGGAGTGTGCCACTTGCTGGCGCCGGCATCTGTGACCATGTAAGTCATGGATGATGTTGCTGCTGCCACTCCCTCAGGCTTCTCTGTATCATGTGGCAGTGATGTTTTGCACTGTATGGTCTGCATTCATCCCCTGCAAATGGAACAGAACCACTTTGTAGCCTGGTGGCAAGACTGTTCCCTCCTGGGGCCTGGCCTGTGCCCCGACAGTCCCGTTGGCTGCTCCAGAGGTCTGCCATGAAGTGCACAGTTCTGCCTTGTACTCTGGAGAGCTGAGCCTTGACCATCGCCAGTGCAGCTGGTGAAAGGCTACATCCTCCCCAAGGGAGAAGGGTTGGCCATCCACAGCAATTATTTTGTCACCAAGGTGAGTGACTGCTTCCTGGGCCCTCCACATAGCCCTTGTGACCTCTTGGAGGGTGGCCTGCCTTGATGTCCCACCCACGGCAGCCCAAGTGCAGGGATGGGTCTCCTGCTCTCCCTTTGCTTATCCCTGCTAAGAGGGAGTGGGCCTCTTCTTCCTCCCACTGTCCACCACTCCTTCTTCCAGCAGCAACATGGTTGGGTGCACCCTCTGCAGGTGCCTGTGGAGGATGGAGGAGGATAAGTGTTGGGGGTTTGCACCCCTCTGGGAGGCACAGCTGCTTTCTGGTCCTGGGCTGGGAGGGGCCACAGAGGGGTGTACTTGAGGTGGGAGCAGCAACAGGGATTTGGGATGTGGAAGGAGAGGATGCTCCCCCCCACACACACCCTCTGAATCACTGCTGTCAGAGTCCTCCTCTTCAAAGAGTGTTAGCAACTACTGGTGTCTCTGGGCAGTGCTAATGACTCTTTTGCTTCTGTGGAGAGCCCCAGAAATAGATCAGGGGAAGGAGGCTCCTGCTAGGGCCAGGCTCTAGTGGCCTGGAAGGATGGGTTTGGTACCCAGGGACAGGGGCCTGTGGTACACAGGGGGTGGACTTCCCCCCACTCCACAATGAGCACCATTTGCACCCACTTTCACCCTCATGGCACACAGAGGTGTTCAAGAATCTGAAGCAAGCAGAGGACTGGCTTTTAACACTTCATACTGCATAAAGAGCCAGTTTGGTGTAGTGGTTAGGAGCATGGACTCTAATCTGGGAATTCCCCACTCCTCCACATGAAGCTGCTGGTGTAACCTTGAGTCAGTCATGGCTCTCTCAGAGCTGTTCTCTCAAGAGCAGTTCTCAAAAGAGCTCTCTCAGCCCCACCTACCTCACAGAGTGTCTTTTGTGGGGAGGGGAAGGGAAAGGAGATTGTAGCTGCTCTGAGACTCCTTTGGGTAGTGAAGAGCAGAGTATAAATCCAATCTCCTCCTCCTCCTCCATATTTTGTAGTACTAGGAGAAATCCTGAGAGCTTCCTTCAAAATCCACTCTGCTTCCCTTGCTCATGTGGTGTAGCTGTTGTGGGTAGAAAGGGTCAAAACCATTGGGGAAGCTTGGAAACTATTTAAAACTACGATCCTAGAAGCTCAAAAAAAAAATATTCCGCAGGTTAGGAAAGGCACAAACAGGTATAGGGAAAAGCCTGCATGGTTAACAAACAAAGTAAGGGAAGCTGTAAAAGGTAAAAAGGATTCCTTTAAGCGGTGGAAAGCTAGTCACAGTGAGGCTGATAAAACGGAACACAGGCTATGGTAAATAAAATGCAAATGAGTTCCTGCTGGGTGTGGCCAACTCGGGAGCCAGCCGGAACTCCGTTCCTGTGCGTTCCTGCCCAAAAATAGCCCTGCTGAGGGAAGAGACTTTGGGAGTCAGAGATCTCTGACAGGGAATTGTCAGAAAAGTACTTCTATAGAGAGAAGAAGAGGGACTCCATTGTCTAAGATATATTAAAAACTACTCTGAGGGAGAGTTCAGATTCTCAGTCAAAAAAGCTACAACACTGCTTTATTCAGACATATAGTATTGGAAGAAAAATTTGGCAGGAGGTTTGAGGAGTTAGAGAGAACTCCCAGACAAGCCAAATAGGGAAAGGAGTTATTGCTCTTATTGACAAGAACAATAACTTCTAGACAGTAGGAAGGGGTCAGGAAGAGTGATTGAAGATAACTCTCCCCCCACTCCCAGATACCACAATCCATTAAGCTTAAAAGCAAAATAGAGCATTGGCAGTGACAGTTGATTATCAAGTTCAGCAACTATCTTTCCCAGAAGCAAAAGAAGAAAAGTTGGTTTTATACCCCACTCTTTACTACCTGAAGGCGTCTTGGAGCAGCTTACAATTGCCTTCCCTTCCTCTCCCTTCCTCTCCCCACAACAGACATCCTGCAAGGTAGGTGGGGCTGAGAGAGTTGTGAATGACCCAAAGTCACCCAGCTGGCTTCATGTGGAGGAGTGGGGAATCAAACCCGGTTCTCCAGACTGGAGTCCTGCTGCTCTTAACCACTACACCAAACTGGCTCTCACCAAAACGGGATTCAATGGGTTTCATCTGCATGGGAGCCATGGCTGAGTCCAGGATCAGTGATGCAGGAGGATGTCATTACAAGAGGCATATTTGGAGTATGTGGTCCAGCTGGTTTGTGGTTCCAAAACTGACTTATTTTCTGCTGTACTCCTGGAGGTGGCTAGTTCAGACTCACTCAATATGGCCAACAAAGTCAGCAGTGTTCTTTTCTAAACAGGCAGAAAGACCCCTCATTCACAGGATCCTCAATAGACTTCACATTGCACTAGAGGCACTTGTCAGCTGTTCTGATTAGCAGGCTGTCATGTTGCACCCTATAAATATATACTGGCTGCAGATCAGGATTTCTAACGAGCTGGGCCTCAGATCAAGAGGGACTCCTTGCCAAGCACACCTTATGGAACCTTGCTGTTGTCACCTCAGAAGCCGCTGCACTTTGGAATGCGGGCTGGTGTTTGGCAAGCATGCATATCTGCAGAACTTCATCATGCAGGCAGCAGACCAAGCAATCACACAGCAGCTCCCCCAGGTTTGGGAAACTGTAATTTTGTGTCAGGTGCCTTAATTCACTGACCTCCAGAGTGCTCTGAATTTCTACACAGTCGGGGTCTCTGCTTGGGCCTGGTTTCAGTAGCTTGTACTTTTGCTAGGCCAAACTGAACTTCTCAGTGTACCTCAAAAGGATCCTGTTCTCGTCCACCAGTGATAAGGACCATGAAGGGGAAGCCACACAGAAGGTACATTGCCAATTTCATTATAACTACAAAAGGAACACCATGAAAATGAATTGGCTGCTAACAAAAACCAAAGTGAAACTGCTAAGTGGCAATTCTAGCAATCCCAGTGTATCAAGCCCGGAGGGCCAAGTATGGAACTCAGTCTCCCCTCTCCTCATGGCCTTCCCTCATTCTAGACAGCCTTTCTCCTTCAGAGTGACATAGTTTAGTCATGAAACTGTCTGATGGCGCATTTCTGTCAGCCCTCTTTTACGCTTTCTGGTAGGAATTTTAGATTTTGGAGCCCAGCTTCTGCAGCCTCAGACTAATAGCATCTGAGTGATACTCTGCTGAAGGAGGAGGATTAACACAAGAACAGCACAATCTGTGCTTCCTCTGCAGTCAGCAGGCTCGGCCTACAGTCTGCCCCCAGTTCTCAGCGAGGACAGAAAATGAAAGCCTGTCGAGGAGGGGGGGGGGCATGCGAGAGTTTTACAATCCCAGATGGGCAAGGCTGTTTTCTCAGGCAAGATGGATGATGGCCCCGCAGGGAACACATGGACACATTGAAACAGAGAGCGTAAATCACGCTAGGAGAGGCGGTAAGTGCAGCCAGCTCAAGGCTTTCTCTCACGGCCAGCGCTTTTCCAATAATACTGAGGCCATTGTCCTCGAGTTCAGGGCCTGCAGTGCTGCCCAGCATGAAGTATACACACCCTGGGGCTAGGGTTCAAAAAGGGTTTAAGCAGTACATTTGGCAGCAGAGTCCTTTTGTGTGTATGTAAAGCTGTGTGTGACATAATGCTGTTTAAATTTTAGCAGAACGTGGAAATATAGGTAAACAAAACTTTGGGAGGGAGATGCGGAGTGAGTTGGGGGGGGGCACGAGCAGGATTCTGGCGCCAAGCACTGCCTTGTGCTCACTGCAAGGCATGAAAGGAGTGCACACTGAGCTTATGGATATGTATATACACACAGTTCCCCTCATACAGCTGGGATCATTGCCCTTTCAGGTTGTCCAGTCTCACAGAAAAAATGCATACATTCCAATGTCTCCATGTGGGCTAGGGGCGGAGCTTGATAGCAGTAAACAGCTGCCAGTAATTCAAGTGTGAACCATGAACGGATTTATGCCAGTGCACTGAAACAGTCACATAGGGTTCTCATGTGTATTTTTCTTATTTATTGAGTGATCTTGCATCTGCCACTTCCTGATAAAGGACTCTTTCTATTACTCAACATGTCAATTATCTATAATGTCCAGGCAATAGAGTTGCACTGTACTAAATGATTCACAAAATTACTTGGAAAAATTATT